ATGTACATATAAATTAATATTCAGTTAAATAAATTAATATTCATAATTGAATATTAATTAATTAAAAAATTAATTAATATTCATAATTGAATAAGTTGCAATGACTATAAAATAATGTATTCATATGTACAATAATTCTGGAACTTGTATAATTCTTTTATAATTGCTATCACTCTTTTTCCCTGTTCATTTTTATAAAAAAATAATCTGTAAATTAACTTCAATCTCTCGATTTAATTTATTCATCATTTTCTGATTCTTAAAATCAGATAAAAACTAAGTTAAACCGAAGTTGAAGTTAATTCACATCAGTAGAAATGAGCGTAGTAAAAGGTGGATCCGAATTAAAGGGACGAAGATTAAAAATTAGTTATAGCGCGCGAATTACAGACAATGATACTCTTTTTACTCCACTTCTGAGACACACGCCGTCGCACAATGAGATACAATTATGTAGATCACGTAAATCGGTACGCAGATCTTTTTTTCTATCCGAAAAGAATCTTGTAGGTCCCATAGATCTCCGTAAATCCGGCGCCAATTCCGTAATTTCTACAAGACGATTTTCATTCGTGCTTTAGCCTCGCAATGTAAAAAAAATTCGCGAAGAACGAAAGCAAGGGGATAGGGGTCACGACGAATAAAATTTCTCCTAGATAAATTCATATCTTACGTATTATTTAAGCACATGCGTGAGAATGTCTCGCCATTCGATCATGAAAATAAGAAACGTTATGTTTAATGCTTAACGTTATGTTTTAATGCTTATCGTCAAATGAGCATAAAATATATGTGTATGCATATATACATATAAGTACATATAATTCGTACATGTACATAATTATATACTTACATTTATTTTATATATATATATATATATATATATATTTTTGCATGAAATATATTATGAGGAATGGAAATTTTACTTTCTACTCCCACATACTATATACATATATGTATATATATGTATACATAACATACACACGTGTATGTGTGCCTAGTAACCTTTCTGCTCGGCACCGAGCAAGGTCTGCGCGAGATGTGCAAATAACGTTAAGAAATTAAAGGATACATTTTGTCGTTTATTTTTATAGCCTAGAGACATCATCTTATAAAACATAAATCGCTAAAGCGATGTAAATTCACTTAAATATATATATATTCATATATTTCGGCATTTCTTTATACTATTGAGTTTCTTGGAGGGGTGGGGGTGAGGGGATGAGGGGAGGGGGACCACGATCTGGCAAAAATTTGCTAGTTACGCTTTTTCTTTCAATTATATATCAAAAGAGGAGTGCACAATATCGAATACGTTCTACGAATACATATATGTCTTCGACATGCTGCAAAATGTAAACGTGATACTCGATGAATGACATTATCATACATTTATGAGAGAAACAAGTGCATTATGCGTGTTTATGCTCGTTAAAGGGAAATATAAAATTCATCAGCTGCCTATTCCGAGTTGGTTTCTTTCGCTTTCTTTCCCTTCCTCTTCTTCCTTCTCTTCCGTCTCTTTTTTTCTTTTCTAATATCGACACAATCGTAAACGATATCCGCGACTCACTCGTACGAATATGTCCTACATATATACAATAGCATAATTATATTTCTCGCATGCCGAAGTCGGCCATCCGATTCCTTATGCTTTTCGCAAAATTCAATCTCTGCCTCTCGTGTATGCCGTCACAAATTTGAAATCCTTTTTTTCCAAAATTTTTTTACTAGTTTCTTACGCCATAGTCAGAATGAATTTCTACCTAAACGAAATAAAAATATGTTTCTCCCTCGCACAGATCACCCGCAATTCGCGCGGCAACCATCCTTTCAATTATCATCCCTATGAATTATCACTTCTGAGTGCCTTGCACGAATCAGCACGTAGACGAACAAGCTAGCGATGTAAATAGAAAGCATTTTACCCATGGCAAAACGCGTACGATCGGTCTAAGACAAGCTCGTCAAATCCGCGTACTGCATTCAGTTAATCACTTTAAATATACCAATCGCATTGTTTAATACGCACGCGATGCACATCATCTTATAGAAAATATGTTCCCACACTCTCACATTTCTATCGCGTAAGTGTAAAAAATTTTCCATACTGTTTACACTGTTCTTTTTTTTCGTTCTCTTTATCTTACTTTAAGTCTCCTGGCTGCTCGTTAGAACGTAAAATTCACTAGATACATCGTCAGCAGGAGATGTACTCCTTTCATGGACCGATATGCATTGGTCTTGACGATGATAACGACGATGCCAATCCGCGGGGTTAAAACACATAGTCTGGACCGGCCATATCTATTGCCCACCGGAACTTATCCCTCTGAGTCTTGTTGTAGATCTTCTCGATCGGGACGTTATGCTTTTTGCACCTGGACAAACAATTTGTATAGACATATGAAAAAAGGAAATAATGAGCGAAACAAGTATTAATCATGATTGGTTCAACTTCTGTCCAGAATTTTCGGTCTCTTCGAGAAATAACGGAGTACCGAATTTTTATATTTTTTCTAGCAGTAGGGAGTTTCCTTTGCTATGGAATTGGAGCGGTCCAAAGAGCACAGTAATTGTAGAATAGCAACAAATATGAAAAGAATTGAATATGCTGCAGAGCTGTTTATGAAGTTGACTAAATTAAGTCTTCAGAAATACTTTTACAGTATTTGCAAGTCTAAATCCAATTTACAACACATTTTCAAATCTCAAATATAAATGATGTACAGAAATGACCGAGAAATTGGCAATCCTTATTGAGTGATGATTGAGTGACATAAGACTTTTATTCTGCAGCATCGTTGCTATATTGATAGAAGAAGAGTATAGAGGGAGAATACTTAGAAAAAGAAACCTGAATTGAAACCAAATAACGTATATAGTTACTTAGTATCCATTACTGAAATTCTGGAAAGAAATTGAACCATCTATTTTTCAGGAAGAAATTATTTAAGACATCATAGTACCGATCTTAGCAAAAAGAATATCAGTTATAATAAATAAAATATATAAGAACATTAAATTGCAAGAACAAATATTGTGAATATGTGAAATAAAAAAAACTGAAGAACATAAAAATAATAAAATTAAAATTTATGAAAAACGAAAAAATTAGATAAAAATATTAAATATACTTACCAAGCAACGGAAATTCTAGGATCGAGATAATTCAATTTGGAGGTACTCAGAGCGATCTCTTTATTCTCTTCTCGGTCAGTTGCTTGAACTTCCAACTTTGTTAATTGATCCTTAAATCTTTCTAGTTGTTTCTTCTTCTTTTCATATGTTCTATAAAAACATTAAGACCAATTAATTTACGCATGCGAGCTGCATGATATAAACATGAGTTGTTTACAAAGTCAGTTTTCTTAGTTAATTTACAAAGAAAAAAAAATAATTTTAAATTAGACAAAGAATTTAAATTTATCGGGCATAAAATAGTCTTTATATCTAAATACCATTTAAACTAAAATTATAAAATTTTTATGTGCAAAATTCATAATAAATAATTTAAATTATCAAACTTTATAAGTTTATTATTATTATTAATCTAAATTTCATTATCTATTATAAATTTATTTTATGTATACAAAATATAAGTAAAAGATGACGTACACTTTTTCCTTCACTGAACCGTGTTTTGCATCTCGTTTAGCGTCCTTTACTTGCTGCTCACACTCGGCTATCACTGCTTTCTTTGTGTCAATCTTTGCCTTTAGGTTCTCCATGGATTTCGCATGTGTCTTCGGTACTGAACGCTGATGATTACACAATATGGCAACGGCGCGATTGGCTCGATTGTACGAGAGAATCTTCTCTGCCTCTGTTTCGTTCGGATCAGTCAACTTATCGAGCTGCTGCTGCAGCGTCCACGATGCGTTGTAAGTTCTGAATACTTTAGCGGTTAAACCTTCCATCAGCTCGTTCAAATGTTTATTCATCACGGTAGTGTTGAGACGATCAAACAAATCGTCTCCAGGCGATTTGTTTTCCATGAAGAGCTGCAGATTCTTAAAAACGCGCTTTTCTACTGGCACCTCGTTGTAATATCGAATAGAATCTTTACCTGTGGGATTAATTCTATAGAAATCACGGAATTGAATTGTATTATAATATTAAGAAATATATAAAAAATACAACTATTTTTTAATCCTTTGGTTTCACTCTAAGAATACCCCGCTTTCTTTTTCCGATGCTTTTCCAATGTTTTTTTCATTGCTTATAATTTTTTATTAACAAACTTACATACATTTACATGGTACCATTAATATATTTTGATCTATATATTTTGATTTTAAAAATTCTTTGCAATATGTTTATTTTCATGAAAGTCATAAACAATCAAATTAAGTTGGCCGTGCTATACCCAAATGTATCATTTCAATAATGCAGCATACCAAAGGATTAATTATAAATATATATTATGTATGAAAATTGCAATAATTCAATTATTACCTAAGAAATCAAATACGACGACGTATTCCTTGCCGCCCTTCTGTTCATGCAGCTTGATATGCTCCACTCGTAATGAGCAACAACCTACAGTATCCGCCTGATCCTCATCTTTCTCATTACCGGCTCTGAGCGCCAGCCTATCAATGAAATACAGAGCAACAGCCCGTTGTCTAATGCGCATTTCCTTACTTTTCCAGTCATCTCGATACTCCGCACGAATTTTGTCAATCGACTGCGCCAGCTTCCGCGCTGTCTCGTACTTCTGCCAATCTTTCTCGCCCTTGAGCTTGCTGGATGGATTTAGCATCACGTACTTCACCTGGCCCTGAATATTCTCCGTCCAAGAAGCCAGCCATGTTACATTCGGATCGTGTCGCACCTCCTTCCATTTATGACCGGCCGGTGGTTTCGGTATATTTGAATCTTTCGAACAGTTGATGAGCACATCCTCTGGTAGAACTCGCTTCTTCAACTTGCCCATCTTAGGATGCTCACCACGGCCTCTAAACAATCCGGGCGGCTCAATCTTGAAGTTACCAATCTTTTCCTTATGGCCATCAATACTGCAGAAACCATATTCTTTTTGTATCTCCTCATTCTTCTCCTTGATCTTCAACTTTTCATCCTTAGTCATGGCTTTGCGCTCTTCACTCTTTTGCAAGAAGTACGCATGCATCTCTTTGAAGTTGCATTTGGACAAATCGGTGATTTTGGCACGCTCCGACTCAGTCATCACCTCTCGCCAGTCGTGAAAGAAGTTGTTGTTGAAAGCAAACTTTGTCGTGTAGTCATGGTCGAGCATTCGCGCATAGAAAGTTGCGACCTCCTCTGTCTCCTCGCTCAGCTTCATCTCTTTGCCGTTATAGTAAAATTTTATGTTAGGAGGTAAGGGTTCATAGGGTGGTGCAAATACTGGTCCTTTGTGTTCCAAGAAATACCATTTCGTCCCATCGCTTTTCTTCTCTTCCTCCCACCTGAATTTAACATTATGTTAAATATTAATTATAATAATTATAGAACTATGTTAATGTTTTAATTATGTTAATAAACGCAAGTTTTTATCCTTAAATTATGTTAGATAAATTATGTTAGAAATGATAGATGAAGAAATTGTATTCTCAAGATTGTAAGTCATCTCATTGTAAATCTCAAGACGAAGCCTTATGAAAGTAGAAGAAAATAAAACATATCAATTGAAATTTCGATATTAGATTCGAACGATTCAAATCAATGTGATTCATAACCTCAAATATAACCTCAAAATCGGTGGATCCATTTTTGTTTTATAAACTATGTAATTGTGATGGCCTCCAAGATTAACTAAACATCTCATTGAGAAACGAATTACTATGCTTCTTACAAGGATTGGCATTACATCCATCTATCATTCGCATCTTTCACTTGAGAATAAATATAGATTTGCGAAGAAAGTCGCTGTAAGGAAATATAGGTTACGATGCCACATGGGAATAAATGTCCAATTTTTTAGAGACTTTTATCTCTAAGAGACAAACGCTCCTATTGGACATTGAATGTATTCTTATGGAAGATTCACATTTCATTCTCCAATAGAAGGAGAATTTCTAGGGACTTACAATCATGATATCATGATTTCATTCCTAGGAATAAGATCTACTTATTGAACGTTGAAGCAGAATGAATTCCATATTAATGTCCTTTTCTATCAATGTAGATTTAACACTTCATCTTTTTCTAATTCTAAGAATTAAAAAAAGATGAAGAGTAACTAAACTAAAATTAAAATTAATCTATATTGATAGAAACGAATATCAGAACCAGAAAATGTAATTTAAATAGTGATTAAAGTTAATCTAAAATAACAAAAAATAACTAAAGTAAAAATTAAGAAAGAACTACTGCATTGATATGATTATTTGAGAGGAAAACTTTGAATGTCCATACCATTTCCAAACTTCCTGCTGCTCCTCCTCTTGTTTCTTTTTCCTCGGGCTTACTTCGCCTTCTGTTTTTACCTTTGTGGTCTTCTTCTTTGGTTTCTACAAGACAAACAGTACAAAACATACTGTTCTACGATCTACATTTCAATTAATTTGAAAGAAATGTTAATAAAAAAATTTAGTACCGGTGTATCTTCAGGCTCGGCGTCATAATCATCATCATCATCATCCGCGTGTTTTCGTTTCTTCTTCTTAGTCTTCTGGTTAGTAGCTTTCTTGGCTTTCTTACGCGTTGACAGCGGAACGTCTTCATCTTCGTCCGACTCGATTTTTCTTTTTACTCTTGACGATACCTTAGATTCCGATAACTGTATCAATATATTTAATGAAAAGGATCTAAATAATCTTCAAAAATAAAAAACAAAATTGAAAAAACAAAATTTACCAATGGTTCATCCTCTTCTTCCGAGTCATTTTCCGTCTTTATGGTCGTATTGTGGAGATCCGACAGCCTGGTGTCATTTCCATCCGTCGAATCCATACTAGCATTCTCCTTAATTGGTTCATCATCATCGTCCTCCTTAATATAAAGCGGTCGCTCACCACCGCTATCGTCATCATCATCAAATTCCGGTTGCGTCATGGGTTCCTAAAGAAAGAAATCCATATCAGTATTTCATTTTATATTTATTCTCCAAAACGTTAACCGCAAACAAAATCTTACCTCTTTTATCTCAGTCTTGATTTCTAAGTTGTAATATCCTTCACTTGAGTGATTCATCTTCACGTTCGATTCTTCCTTTACTTTGATCTCCTCCTTATCCTTCTTTTCCTTTTCCTCGCGATGTTTGGCTGCATTTGGTCACGAAAGATTAAAAAGGGAAAATAAATATTTTTTATATATATATATAAATATATATATATAAAAAAGCTTAAATATTGCTACTTACATTTGTCCTTATCATGGCGATGGCGATCTTTGTCTTTATCATGACGATGCTTATCTTTGCTGGACAAACTTTCTCTGTGCTTGTCTTTATCTTTTTCCGAGGAACGATGCTTCTCACTCGAAGAGTGAGAAGTGGAATGTCTGTCCTTTTCCGATGAGTGCTTCTTACTATCCTTGTCCTTTGAAATACTGCGGTCCTTATCCTTATCACGCGAGCTAGAGTTCAAGGAACTACTGTGTCTATGCCTATCTTTATCCTTGCTCGAGCTGTCCTTGTCCTTAGAACTGCTGTGCCTAGCAAAAATATATCGTAATCAGATAAATACCACCGTCAAAAATTATTACATAATATTTTAAAAGACACTTTTTTATTTTACCTGTCTTTATTTTTGGAGCTCGAGCTGGATTTGTGATGATGTTCTTTGTCCCTGGTTTTGTCCTTTTCCTTATCTTTGTTAGATGAACTGCTACTCTTATGTTCCTTGTCCTTACTAGACGAACTCTTTCTATCCTTGTCTTTACTATTGCTACCATCATGCTTCTCCTTATCCTTAACAGAACTGGAGCTATGTCTATGTTTGTCCTTATCCCTGTGTTCACTTTTATGATTCCTCTCCTTGTCTTTGCTCCGATCTTTATGATCCGATTTGTGAGATCGTTCTCTGTCCTTGTCTCTATGTTCTGATTTGTGTTCCCTTTTCTTGTCGAAACCATTGGACATGCCATTGATATGATCTACGAAAATGTCTAATTAAAGTTTACAATATACACATGAGATTCATCATTAATTTCAAAATAATTTTGTCTATTAAAAATTATAAGGTACATAAAGTTTAATATAATGAAACAAAATAAATGTTAATTTAATAGTATCTAAAATAATAACAAAATAAGGAATAAACTTTGAATAAAATTCAAAGTTGAAAAAAACATCTCAAGTCACCAAGATTACTCCGTTTAATCCGATTTATACCAATGTAAATTAACTTTAATCTCGGTTTGAGTAATTATTGTTAAAATAAATTGAACTGAGAATAAAGTTAATAAGAAAGTGAACCAAAGAAAGTCCATTTCTTTCCATGAAACGAAAGACCCTGATTGGCTTTTTTTTATGCTTTATGCATTGTGCATTATGCAAAGGTCTGTACTTTGGCTTTAATTCTTAGAATTGCAAGCTAAAGAATAAATTAAAATTAATCTAATATTGATGGAATCGAACCTTAGATAATTATCGTTATTTTGTTAAGCATTCTAGAATTAGATCCTCTCAATCGCTGAAAACAATGTATAATCAATAAAATATGCAAGATTAAGAACCACATAAAAATAAGAACAATAAAAAAATTAATAAAAATAAAAATAGAAAAATAGGTAAAAAATGACTAAACATATTTAAAAAATTAATTAGAATTAATAAACACGCATTTAATGAGATTTCTGACCAAAAATGTGGATAAATTTTTTCATAAAAAATTAACAATCAAAAATTCGCGCGGTTCTTTAAACCTATCGCACATGATTCATTTGTTTTGGAACTCTTTACTATTCTTTTCAAACATCGCTACCACAACGATCCTATCCCCGATCGAAGACTCGAACTTTCTCGAAGCATCCTTGAACTCTCGCTGGAAAACTCTCGAACTTTCGAGAAGATGCAAAATTCATAATTAAAGAGGTACGGGAAGGGCAACTTCCGCAGTTGCAAGATCCCTCATCCCGCCTTCAAGCGCTTCTTCCCTGGACGGATGAGACACGTGTTCAATTCCCCCTTTCCGTGATCCTCGTGAGTCCTTCGGTCGATTTTTAATTCAACTATTCGCCTCCGTTCGGTCAACACTCACACGCGTCCGAGTAAAAGAAGTAAAGTACTCACCGCTATGATTCCCGGAGACGGAGACGCCGTCGCCGCCGCCGCCGCCGCCGCTCTCCTTGGTCTTCTTTTCCTGAAACAGACAAGCGACCGTTCAGCGCGACCAGGAAGGTCAAATGCGGGCGCGCGCTTCTGTTCGACGGTATTGAAAAGCCGGGGAGCCACGAGGAGCACTCTCGCGCGCGCCTCGGGGTTCGCCCGTCCGCCACGATAGGACTTAGTCGCAGACGCCATTTTGGGACTTAGAAAATTTTCGCGTCGGGCACGATGAGAGACGACCAAGAGGCGAGAGCGCTCCCACAGGCGATTATCGCAAAAACGTGCGCCTACGTGGACGCGGAATCACGATCGCTTACCAGATCCACGTTCATCTGTGGTGTCGCCTGCTCGAGCTCCATTTTCCCGGACGCTCGGAATCTGTACACAGCGCGGGCAACGATGGACTTGCGGCGCGAGGACTACCGTGCTTCAGCTGCGCCGTCGACCAAGTGAGACACAAGAAGCTCCGAGAGCGGATGGCTGGGGCGCGAATGTACGCGTACGCACACACAGTGGATCTCCCGACGAGTGTGTTAGCGAATTCGCAAGAGACCGTGAGAAAGACGGGGAAGTAGAGAGAAAGAGAGAAGAGATAGAGAGAGAGAAAGATGGAGAGACGGCACACTTTACCCTAAGCCGTCCGCAACGCGCCCGTCTCGTCCCGCGTCCGACGAACGACTGTATTCCGTGTGCGCGTCGCGACGCCGCGCAACCAGTCTAAGTGCCAGAAACGCGCGACTGCGCATGCGCCCGTTCGCCCCGCCCCCCTCGTACTTCGCACGACGGCCAGACGCGATCCCGCGATCCCGATCGCCGAGATCGAGCCGATCCGATGTGCTCCGAACCGAGCCGAGAGTGTCATTCACCGCGGTGCGAGGTCGATTGAAACCGGTACGATTCCGCAGCAGAGTTCAATACTCGATGCGCGGAGACGATTTTGCAGGGTTGTGCCGTATATTTCGAGATTATGTTTACATGGAACTTTTACGTATTGTTACGTATTGTTTACACACATCTGTTTTTTTACGGTATATGCAATATAAAATATGAGCCCCTTAATTGACAAGGCATAAGTCCAAAATTAGGAAAAATGCATTATAGAAGTTGAAAGTATTAAGAATGTTTTATCTATCAATTTAATTTACTTTTGTTCTGTTTTTATGTTCATAAAAAATGAAAAAGCTGGAATAAATTTAAGTCCAGCTTTTTTTACGGTCACTTATTTATGATGTAAAATTGATTTTTATTTCTTATTGTAAATTATTATATATTGGATATAACAGTATAGGGAAAACTAAATTTTATGATCGTTAATACACCTGATTTTAGTATTGATAAGTTTAGTTTGAAAAATATTTAAGAAAGATGGAAGCCTGTGCAGTTGTGTAGTCTACTGCAATAATAAAGAAGCTTTGATGATTTATAGGATTATTTACACAAACGATACGCAATGTCTAGTTTATATAATTTACATCTGTTTCATGAAAACAGTACAAGCAATGTAAAATATGTAAATTATTGTAAATTATATAACAAAAAAAATTGAGTTTTACAATTATTAGTATATTATATGATAAGAAAATATAAATAAAAACATAAATGAGAGGAAAGCTTAATGCAACGATAAAGAAACAAAGTTTTGATGATGTTTACACAAATGTCACGTAAAACATAGTTTACATCTTTTTCATTGGACAATACATGCAATATTAAAATATGTAAATTATAAATTATTATAATTTGTATAACACAGTATAGAAAGAAACTAATTAAATGTTATGATTGTTATCTGACTTTAGTATTTAATAAATACATAAGCAAGATGGAAACTTAATTTACTGCAGTCTAGTACAACAATAAAGAACATAAGCTTTGATAATCTATAGATTGTTTATACAAATAATAAAAAAGGTTTTAGGTTTAAATCCATTTCCTATAAATAATACAAGTAACGTAAAATATATAAAATATTATAAATTAAATAACACAGTACAAAAAGAAGTAATTAAATTTCATAATTGTTCATATATAACTTGATACTGATAAATAAAAATATATAAGATAAAAATTTTAGTGCAATCCAGTGCAACGATAAAGAACATAAGTTTCAATGGCTGTATTCAACAGAATGTTTATTTTGCAACTGTTGGAAATTTTCTTCACACTGATATTACTTTTACATCTAGAGAAATAGTCCTGTTTCGGCAATCATAAAATGGTTGCAAAACTGTTGCGTTCTGCTGAACGCATCCATTGATTTATAGATTGTTTACACAGATGACATGTAAAACATAGCTTACATAGTTTACATTGTATAGATATGGATTATTATTTCTTACGCACAACCCTGGGATTTTATTTCGCAGCCATAAGAAGACCGGCAACAAAATGTTCTTCAAAGCGAAATTCAAAATCAGAGTATACTGATCATTGATCGATTCATTTCTCAGATTCAATTAACAGATTCTCTCTTTTCTTTTTTTTTTATAGTGGGGAAAATCTTCTCGCGAAAAATAACTCTTCCAAGAACAGGAATTGAAAAATCCCCTCGCAAAGAGAATTAATCGCCAGAGATTTCTGAAGTAAATTACAATATCGAGTTCTATCGCAACACAAGTTTATGGGGTGCAAAAAACGCGATAATTTTGAAATTATTTCATACTTTTTTGTGATTTTGCTGATTTTAAAAAAATAAGTTTATACGAGATATTTCTTGTCGACGTAACCAACTTTTTCGTTTGATTCAACTTCACGTTGGATCGAATTTCGCGAATTATTATATTGAACTATATGTTCGATTCATAGTATATAAATTATGTCTTATGAACAATTCCATCATACGTTCGATTATCAATTGCAGTTCACTTTCAAAGCATCAGCGCGAGAAAATTGTTGATTCTTTTTTATTTATATATTCGAAAGAGTGATTTTCCGCAACGCAATCATTTTTGAGAAATATAAACTAAAAGAATATTTTACGTTGGAAAAATAATATGTCATTCTCTCTCTTGCGTGATAATAATTTATAGCAATAATTGTACATAATTTTATTTTTAAATATACTGTAAATGTATTATATACAATTATAATATTATAATTATATAATAGCTAAATAATTATGATATTATAATTATATTTCAAAATTCTTAATCATATACACTGTGTATGTATCATTAAGAATTATATAATTTTCAATTTTA